AAAAAGCCAAAATTCAACTCAACTGGGAACCTGTTGGTTGTATCCGAACTGATTTTGATTTAAATTTATAAACAATTCAAACATTGAAGTATTCGTTGTGAGCTCCGCACTTTGCAATACCTGAATGGAAGTTGGCGTATTCAACGAAGTTTTACCTCATGTGTAACATAAATTACTATAAATTGTATTGTGATACGCATCAAATAAACGACTTCATCGCATTTATCTCGGGAACCTCTGCGATTTGGTGAAATGATGCAAATTCGTGTTAGATTTGTTGCTTATACATGTCTTTGTTGAAATCGAGCTCCGCAATAGTCTCTGAGAACTATAAATTTCTATAATTTCAAAAGCAATCTTGAATTGCTTAACTTATTTAGACAATTATACGTTATGAAGGGCACCTGGCACAATGTTATTGTGTTTCGAGGAGGTTTGCATTGGCATTGCTGATAATGTATTGTCAATGGTACCTGCGCATCTTGGATTTATCATTTTTATATAATTAACTCCTTCGTGCACAAGATGCTCCCCTTCACAAATAAATTGGCTGACATTTGACAGAGTAAACTCTATGGAGGAAACTTAACTCTTTATCGACAAGCGACATTTTGACGATTTTACGACTCAATTGTTTATAACGTAAATATCTCAGCGTGTATTCACCCCCCTTTAAAACAAAGAATACCATTGAAATCCTAATAAAATAGGATTGGTCGGGGGTCGAATGCCATCAAAGCATCACACAAACTGAAACAATCATATATTTACTCAGCACTTGGCCAAACATTCAGAATTTTGTTTCCACAATAGCGTGAATAACTTGTGAATTCTTGAGAGTTTGTCACAAATCAATACGAGTGAAACATTTGTTGTATTCAAGCGCTTTTATTTTTTATTTAAGTTCATCAATGATCACAGGCATGGCTCACCAACGATGGGTGGTCATCCTCACTGATCTCAAAAATATGGCTGACTGTCATGAATAGCGGACACTGATTGGTCCAATTTAAAGTTTGCATTATAACGACTGCATGACGACAACGAATAGCAAACATTTCTTGATTTGATGATAATTGATAAATTTCTTGCAAATATATTTCTGATAAATTTCTTGCAAATATAAGATTTTGTAAATGTCAAAAGCTTTCTCAGAAAGAAAGGGTGAAAGAATCAGCTAAAACAAGGGAGCCGACATTAATAAAGGTAAGTTTCTATTAAATATTGATTTTACAATTGCTTTAAAACCCCGACAGCCTTTGCGTATTTGACACAACTAAACAAGACAGCAAAAAATTTCAGTGTATCTTTAATATTGATTCCCTTTTTTATTATATCGAATTTTTTAAATAAAAAAGAAAGTAAAGTTATTTGCATGCGACAATTTGAAATCATTTTATTGCAAACTCAAAGTTTATCGATAAAGCCATAAAATTTATAAAGGCAGTTTTGTTTTATAAAGAACACTTTAAAACGTTTTGCGAAGTTGAATTTTACCTTACATTGAAGCTTATATTACGTATAATAACATACCTAACATATATATGTTGAAGTGATATTTTTAGGCGATTTTTCATTTGTAAGAATATTCTTAAAATTATTGTGTTACCATGACAACTACTTTACATACTTCATGTTCAGAAAATACAATGGTTTTGTCAGCAAGGCGAGGGTTTCTGCATGCATGTATTTTCTAGTTTGATGTTATGAACAACAGAAGAAGATTCCATACCATCCTACTAAAGATGTGCGGATTCGGACAGTAATTTACTCGAATCAGACTTCTTTTTTTTATTGTCGGATCGGATTTTGTAGGGTTTTTTGTTGGATCGGATTTGGTTTTTTCTTGTATTGCGTTGAATTACTTGAATATGTTAACAAATTAAGATAGTTCGTAAGTCAAACATCCCGGCCGACTGGGCTTTGTATAAACATGCCAGATGCAAAACTACAAATATGATTAAATTCTCTAAACGACAATTTATTCAAGAATCAATAGAAAATAATCAAGGAAATCCTAAGGGAATTTGTAAAGTGCTAAAATCGTTAAGTGGGAAGAAAAATAATCCAATAACAATAGATGAATTAAAGGTCAATGATGCGGTAGTAAAACATAAAGCCGAAATTGTTGAAGCAATGAATGACGCTTTTATTAATATTGCCTCTAGAATCAGTCAAGGCAATCAAAATAATGCCAAATTTGATGGGGGAAAATTTGTCGATTTTGTAAAGCTAAAGATTGGTAAGGATTGTTTTGAAATACCACCGATTACGTCAACACAGGTACTGTCTGCATTGAATAGCATGCCAACTAACAAATCCACTGGCTGTGATGGCCTAAGTGCTAGAATACTAAAGTTAGCAGCACCGGTATTGACTCAACCTTTTTGCTGCCTTATGAATTACTCCATATCATCAGGTACTTTTCCTATCAAATGGAAAACCGTGAAAGTAACACGCCTACATAAAAGTGGATCTCGTGATGATGTAGATAATTACCGTCCGATTTCGATACTTCCTGTATCTCTAAAGTGCTTGAAAAACATGTGGCCACATCGTTCTACAAGTACCTCCAAGATCATAACCTTCTCTATAAATTCCAGTCAGGTTTTCGTGCTAACCACTCGACAGAGACAGCATTAACTCGATGAACTCCTTTTTAACATGGATGACGATAAGGTTACATGTTTGACATTTATTGACTTTAAAAAGGCATTCGACCTTATAAATCACAAAACTCTGCTGAAAAAGCTTGCAATTTATGGGGTAGACGGATCATCAATTGCCTGGTTTACATTGTATCTATCCGACAGAAAACAGTTTGTTAAATTAAATGAATATGTATCCACTTGTCAAGTGGTATCACAAGGAGTACCGCAAGGATTGATCCTCGGACCGTTGTTGTTCATTACATTTATAAACGATATGCCTCTTCATATGCCTGACCCAAATGTAGAAATTTATGCCGATGACACAACTTTAGCAAGAAGTGCAAGTATCGACAAATTGCCTGTTTTAACTCGAATGATAAACCAAGATTTGATCTGCTTAGAGAGATGGTGTAATGAAAATGGCATGGTTATAAACACGTCAAAAACAAATGTTAATCGCTGGTAAACGCATTCGAAATAACACCAGCACCTTTTCCATCTCTATAGATGCTAAACTAAATGACGCTGTAATTGAACAAGTACTCAGTTACAAACTACTCGGTGTTAGCTTGGATCAAGACCTGTCATTTACCACCCAAATCGATGAGCTATGCAAGAAGTTATCGAAACGTGTTGGTCTTCTTCACCATATATGTCCATATTTGAAACAAAAACAACGTGAGATATATTACTCTGCAATAATCAAACATGTTTTACTGTATGGTAGTACTGTATGGTGCTCCTGTAAACAAGATGACCTACAAAGAGTGCTCAAATTGCAAAAACGACCTGCAAGAGTAATATTGGATGCTGATCGTAGAGCCTGTTCTGTGGATCTGTTTAACACGCTCGGTTGGCTGCCATTTTACATCGAGGCCCACATAAACCGCTGTACCTTAGTTTATAAACGGATTAGCACCGACTTATATTAACGATCTACTTATAAGAAATTGTGATATTCATAATAGGAACACTAGGTCTCGAAACTAAATTTAAATTGCTCAAGATACAAAAGAGAGACTTAAGGGGGGTGTACGTTTACTGTTAAGACTATCAAGCTTGGAACAGTATTACCAGTGACTTAAAGAAAAGTCATAGTCCAAGTATTTTTAAAAGAAACTTTCTTAAATACTTTTTAACAAAGCAGAGAGAGACACTTACTTTTGAATCTTTTTTAGCTCTTTGACTTATTTTATCTTAAATATTCTTAGTATAATGTAAATATAGCATAAGTATAATTACCTACTAAATGTAAATAGATTTAGCATTGTCTATTCAGTATAGTTCATTGGGTGTATATTTTTGTAATTAGGAATATGGAGGGCCACAGGTTTATCATTTTTATTAATGTCAAGTGTTACCCTCTTGAAATAAAGTCTCTAATCTAATCTAAAGTTCTGTAGCAGGAAGTGCCTGGAAGGCGTGGAGCCGAGTAAGCAGAGTGATTTGGTCGAAGCGGAGTAATACTATTTTATGCCGAGTGATGACAATAAAGTAGAAAAGTGTTTTGATATTTCTGACAAAAGAAACCCTGGTTTTATGTAGATTCTTCTTAAATCGGTTACATATGGGAATTGGGATATAGAAATGTTGTGATTCTTTGTTTAGTTTGCTAAGGTTTATGTGTCATGAAGCACTTTGAAGCACTGACAATGAGATTTATTATTGATAAACTTTAAGATGTTTTAAATTGTAAACCCAGGTCAAAGTCATGCATTGTTATAATAACTCGGTGACTAGTTGTTTTTTTTTCTATGCTAGTATAACTGTATAAGGCATAATTATGTGAAATCGCTCTGCAATTTTTATCGGATTTGTATCTGCTTACTTTTGCTGAAATTCATTATTTCCAATATATCGTTTATCATCATGAAAAAATATGTTCGTAAACCGAATAATTAACGCCTGCTGTATATAATAACTTATGTTCCGATCGGATTGGATTACAAATCTTAGCATCGGATCGGATTTTATAAACATTTTTTCAGATCGGATCAGATTGCTTTTTTCATCTTCGGATCAGATTCGGATTGAAAATTTAGACAAACCATCGGATTCAAAGAGGTCAACCCGATCCGACGCACACCTCTACATCCTACATTATCAACATTTTCATCAACTTTCAAATAATGGATTACAAATGAAATTTCAAGAGAAAATATATGGTATATTCATATTGATCATGAGCTCATCACATATGCATCATATTAGTCTGTACGAATATTGACCAATATTGGATTCATCGTCATCAAAATGCCTATAACTTCTCACATTACGGATGAACCGTCACTGACATGTCCACGCTAATTTTCACATTGATGGATCACACAAGAAATTATGCTGCGATATCATCCTATACAGATAACTAAAATTCAAATGCTTAATACAAATTGCTATTTGTTTTCGATGATTCAAAAGCTGATACAGTTTCAAATGAGTTGTTGTTGAGCCAAATGCCCAAAAGCAATGTTGACGGTATGATTATACATAATGTGATATGTAATGTAAATATGCTGTTTTTTGTCTTATATGAACATTTAGTTAATTGTACATATTTTAATAGGTTAGTCGAAAGAGAACAACAGCCATGTACAGGTTGATTTTAAAGGTATTCCATATCTATATTTCAGTCAATTGTTTGTTATTTTACAGGGGAAAACTACCGGGGACATGTCACACCCCAGTCTCTATTTCATCAGGCAAATTTTGAAAACATTTGGGTGTCTCGGATTGAAAAGTAATAGTTGTAGGAAATTTTGATAAATATTACTGAAACATTTTACCTTTGGCCATGCACTTTTGGTCGGACAAAACATGCTTCCCCCCTCCAAAGCCGTAATATCGAAGTTTCGCCTCTGGTTATTTAGAAGCCATCAACTATTAAGCATAACCTATTGGCTATTGAGGTGTCATATATGCACTTCTTTATTTAGGAAAATGCCATAATTGTGACCAGAAAGGCCACAAATTGAGAGATTGCAAAAAACGCATGTGTTTTCCTTTTATTTTTTCAAAAAATTTAATACAAAGACTAATCCTACCTCTCACAACATATGGGCTATAACAGGGCAGTCGTTATATTGGTCTAAGGCAGTTGCTAGTTGATAGTTTCTATATTACAATTGCTTGTTAATTGGAGAAAATGTTACGATTTTTGTATTGTAATAATTGACTCAATTAAATCAGAGTAAAATACTCTATATCAATGTGGTAAGCCAGGCCACATTGCAAGACAATGCAGGCAAAGAAAGAATTCAGGGCCTGGCTTGCATACCGTATATACACATTGTACATTCAACTTGACAGCAGGCAATTTACACAAAGAAAACTAAACCGTATTATATACATGTACATGCAGGTAACTTTAATCTGGTTTCAATTTCTTTAATTTTGATGTGTACAAATTCCAATCCGACATGAAGCAGTTGCTACTTAAGACTTGGTCAAACTAATGTACCTCTTAAAGGCACATTGTTTTACATGTCCAATAAGTAACCATGTTAAAATTCATCTGTATATCCTGATTAGTTTTCATTGGGTAAATTGCTTGTAATTGTTATTTAACACAGTCATGCAATATTGCCCTTATTCAATTAAAGAAATTTAAAAGGGCAAATCATGGTTGAATTAAGCTTTTAGAGGGAAATTACAGAGCTTTCCAATTCAATACATGGTGAACAAGCCATTGACTCGGTCCACTTAGTCAAGTACAATTATGATGCAACTCTTCTTTTCGTAGACATTTAATTCTCCATCATATTTCAGGATTTTCAGGGTGATGGGTAAAGATTTCCTCTTTACAAGGACCAGTTTCGGGGTGGGGGGGGGGGCGGTTTATATCAAACATGTCTAAATGAATGGCGCTGAACCAATTCAACTACTGTAAATGCAATATAAGTACAAGTAACTTGGTCAAACTTGTTGAAAAGACTATACTGTCTAAAACTTGTCTTATTAATTAATGCATAAATGAAACAATTTCTTTTAATTGATTTTTGTGCAATATTTCCATACTGTTTATTTTCCAATTTAAATAAATGTTATTGTGTTTCTTATTCACATTTTCAATGATATAATTAAATACTTGTGATTATAAATACAAATTATTATGTAAATATATAATATTCAATTATAACATATATTTTGTGACCTCTCTCTCCATACTAACATCAAATCATTGTTTGTTACTGAACCACTGAAAATACCGACATCACTTTAAAAATGTTAAAGGGTTTTTGTAGATGTAGATTTTATACAGTTTTAGACCTGATAACCAGGGACAGCTGCAAAAGATGCAACTATATTTTTTAGGTTGGTAAGGTAGGTGACACTTACTACCTTCGACAGTTAGTGTAGTTCTATTGAGTGTGATGTCCAAAATCCTTAAGATAATTACATGAATTTGCAATTGCAGCTCGACAACTGTAGCTGATCAATTAGCCTTTCTAACAATGATGAATATCCGCCATTTTGGGTGGCATCCAATTCTCGTTAACTAGTGCAGAAAATTAAAACAATGTGAAAAGCAATTTTTCAGAATAAAGTAACCATTTACAAGACAAATTTACCATGCGAGGGTACTAATTCCCCCCCGGCTATTTACACCCGGGGAAACGAAAGCATTAGCGGAGTCTAAAGTTCATCAAATATCATGGGCGTGGGTCACCAACGGTGTTGCGTGGGTGGTCATCCTCACTAACCTCAAAAATATGGCGGACTGTCATGAATAGCGGACACTGACTGATTGGTCCAATTTAAAGTTTGCATTATAACGACTGCATGACGACAGCGAAATAGCAAACATTTCTAGATTTGATGATTCATGATTGATAAATTTCTTGCGAATATATTGCATTTTTACTCGCATTTTTGCAATATTTTGTAAATTTCAAAAGCTCTCTCAGAGAGAAACTTCGAAAGAATCGGCTAAAAGAAGGGAGCCGACGTTAACGAAGGTAAGTTTGTTTTAAATATTGATTTTATAATGGCTTTAAAACCCGACGGCCTTTGCGTATATGAAACAACTAAACAAGACAGAATATAATTTCGCTCGGTGTATCTTTAATATTGATTCACTTTTTATTATATTGAATTATTTAAATAAAAAAGAAAGCAAAGTTATTTGCAAGCGAGAATTTGAAATCATTTTATTGCAACTCAAAGTTTATCGATAAAGCCATTTAATTAAAGGCAGTTTATTAAAACAGCACTTTAAAACGTTTTGCGAAGCGTTTGTGGTTGAATTTTACCTTATATTGAGGCTTATATTATGTATAATAACATACCTAACATATATATGTTGGGAAATTAATAATTTTGTAATTAAAAGTGATATGTTTAGGCGATTTTTCATTTGTAAGAATATTCTTAAAGAATTATCGTGTTACCATGACAACTACTTTAGAACTTCACGTTCGGAAAATACAATGGTTTTGTCAGGAAGGCGAGGGTTTCTGCATGCATGTA